GTATGAGGATGGCAGATTATTTAAATTTGCATAGAAAAATATTAGGATGTTCAAATTATTTTTTAAAGGAATCTTTGTAATCATCGATTTGTTTTAGTCCCATATAATTAATTTGTTTTAACTAACAGCTGGTTGAATGTAATATTGTTCTATATAACTATTAGGTTTTTGGCGAATTTCCCATATAGGGAATAAGCTATTACTGTTATATATTTTCTATTTGCATTCCTCAACAATCATATGTTATCCTACTAATATTATAAATGAGAAAGTTTAGATGTATGGATGTATGGATGTGTGGATGTATGTTTGTGACAAGTGAACGCGAAAAATACTGGTTGGATTGGGCTGAAATTTGGCATGATGATAGCTAACATTCCCGATTAACATATAGGCATATTCTTATTTCAAAAATCCTTTCGGGCTCCGCCCCAGTGGCTCTGGAGTTTCCCATGTTAACCTTATGAGAAATGGAATTATTGAATCTTAACAGCTGTTTCAATTAAACAAGTTGGTTCTGTTCTATGATGTTCAATAGCATTAAAGTTACAAGGATTACCAACAGGGTGCAGCACTATTATTTCTTTTACATTTATGACAACAGCTAATTTGCAACCAAAAGGTGAGTGAGCGTAGCGAACAAACTTCAACCTGGAGGCGAGTTAGAGTAGCGAACGAGCTAACCTGAAGGCAAGTGAGCGCAGCGAACGAGCTCCAACCTAAAGGTGAGTGGGCGTAGCGAACAAACTTCAACCAGGACGTGATTGAGCCATGTGAACGAGATTATCTTGAAAATTTAGAAGTTAAACGGGGCAAAGCCCGCGGGTTACAGCTAGTTTTAAATATTTATTATTCCTGATGATTTTACTATTGTAATTATCAAAACATTGTTCTCAATACAAGACTCATTACAACACCATCTTGAAATAATTTATTCTAATACTAATTATCTAATATTACTTCAAGTATTTTAAAATTACCGTAGTACTTATGGTAACACCTGGACCCGGGACCGATTTAATTTTTCGTTTTGAGGTCCCTAGAGGCCAAAAACACCATCCGTTCAAATTCATATATACAGAGTGATCAACTCGAGGAGGCCACCATTGGGAAGTCGGAAACGGTAAGAATTAGAGAAAACATTAAATGGGGGACATTCCTTTATTTTTTGTGGCAGTTAAAAATACGATTTTAGTTTTTTTATCATGTTTTCGGATAGAATATGCAATTTAAAAACTTTTTTAGCCTTGACACTTTTTCGATAAACCCACTCGTTTAGGAGTACAGCCTATGGAAAAATGACTTCCGGTGTACACTTTACATCATGTAGCTCCTAAACGAGTAAGTTTAGAGCAAAATTGCAAAAAGTAAATCAGTCTTAGAATTGCATCTACATTCCTTTAAGACTATAAAATAAAAAGTTTTCCACTTTTCAAGTTTGCCGCCATTTTTTTAAATAATATAATTCATATTTTTAATGAATGTTATGGTCTTTTTGGAATGTGGATGCAATTGTAAGACTTTTTTACTCTTCCCATTTTTGCTATAAACTTACTTGTTTAGGAGCTACATGATGTAAAATGTACACCGGAAGTAATTTTTCCATAGGCTATAACTCCTAAACGAGTCGGTTTATCGAAAAAATGTCAATTATAAAAAAGTTTTTAAATTGCATATTCTATCCGAAAACATGATAAAATATAGGGTGTTCCATAAGAAATTTCAAATTTGGCCGCCATTTTGGAAAATGGCGGCTGAATTTCAAAAAACTAAAATCATATTTTTAACTGCCACAAGAAATAAAGGAATGTCCCCCATTTAAAGTTTTCTTTAATTCTTACCGTATCCGATATCCCAATTACAATTGAAATTGTAATTGGACACTAGTAAGTACCAGTGCACTTGTTGCTACCTCCCCCCTTCGGTTTCATGTATTCCTCTCAACCACTTCAAACCTAGGAGGATTAAACATTAATGTTAATTAATGTTAAATCCTCCTAGGTTCAAACCTTAAACACCCAGATCGAAACTCGCCTGTCGTTATTTAAACATCGCTTAATTTTTTTTACTATATTTTTCAAAAAAGGAAGATTAAATTGATTTACGGATTTTAAAAAGTGGACGTTTTATTTTATTAAAGATTTATTTATGGTGATACGTAAATATTGTGGTATAGTAAAGTATATTATATTGTAGTTAAGTGTTAAATTTCGAAATTTTAGGGTGAATCGAGATGAATCTTTTTTTATAACATGGGTCTCTCCTACCTTAACGTACATACCAAGTTTCATAAACATCGGTTGGAAAAGTGTAAAGATAAATATTTGTATGTAAAAAATACAAAATGGCGGATATCTGGTTAACGAAACGATTTTGGAAAAAATGTTATCGTTCATTTTCTGTTTATTTTGACCCAAGGAATTACTAGGTAAAGTGTCTCTCCGCTTATTTTTAATACCTTGTTTGTGATGTATTCTTATTAATATAAGTGAAAAATGTAAGCTGGTAATACAGAAAGATGTTTTATAAATAATATGAATGTACTGGTAATCTGTATATTCATCTTTTTCTTGTCCTTAGAACTGTAAATTAAAAGTCCACTCAGCAGTCGCATCGTACGATGTAGTTCTTTCCATGCGTTGCGAAATGCTAAATTTGCCGTCCTCTTCAACCTAAGTTATCTATTGAACCACTGATTGTAAAAAATTCAAAAAAATATATTTTACCCATCACACTTTTGGCTACAACTTTGCCACAGACAAAACCTCTCTAACCCAAAAACAAACAAAAATCTCGCATGCTAACTTTTTCATGTTAGAAATCACGATTTAAAACTATTTCACCATACATATCAATTTTTATTAATTATATCGGTAAATAGTTTAAAGTTCCAACAAAATAGTCATTGAGTAGGACTAACCAAGAAGCTCTGTGCCAATTTTCAAAATCTTAGCACAACTTTAAGTACACCAAAACACGAAATTATTGAAGTCATGCGTCGAGAGGACTATCGTTGTTTTTAACAGATTATACTTTTGACCTTCCGGCACTGTTGACTCAGCGAAACTGAACTTATATTTTATCTTATTTCGTTTTATTTAAACTGCTGTTGCATTAGGTCAAATTCCCAATAAGTCAATTGCTTTAACATAGACTACGTTTTTAGCCCGGACTGTACTATTTGACTTACTGGGATTTTTGATCTACAGACACTGCAAACATTGTAGTTTTTGACCTAGTGGCACAGGTATAAATTATTTGACCTTCCGGGACTGTTGACTTTCTGCAACGCGTCCACCTATATATACGATCCAACATTAAACATTATACGATAATCGACCTTCTATTACGTACCAATCAACGTAGTGAGGTACGATGAAAACGTGTTAGATGCAACGTGTCATTTATTATTTTATATCGACTATATTGAGTATAATTTGTTAAACGTCTAAGAAATATTACCCTGTGTATTTGGTAAACATGCAAGACTTTTGATCCATACAGGGAAACAGTAATTTCCATTCTAATAGGTTTTCGTTACTTTATTATATGAAAAGCACATCTTTTGAAGCCTTAATTTGATTTAGAAAACATGGGTCTTTGTAAAATTTAACAGATTTAAAATCCTCTCTAGGAATTTATTAAACAGTTGAATTTATAGATTTGTGAAGTGTATAATAATGGTGTCGTAGCATAGAAAAATTTCATTTAGCAAGATTTGAACCATGAATTCCAGGACGGAAGCTCCGCACTTAAACCTCCAGACTAACCCTGGCCCTGTATAATCACCTGTCTCAGTATTTTCAAAAAATGTACACCATTAAAAAATTGTACTGCCTTAATCATAAAAACATCACATTATTTTATTAGAAAGTGGTGAAATATGGTGTAAAAATAGTATAGTGTGATAGTCAGCCGATTCTCTAATGAGGACGTGTGTTAAAAGCCTGTAATCGATGACATTCTACGATAACACAAACTAGTTGCAACAACATGAATTGCCTTTCACATTAATTATCGCATTAGTCATTGCCACATTAAATTGGCGACGAGAATTGTTTAAGCGTCATGTCGAAACTACTACAAGTTTCGTACATTTTTTATATATTCTTTAGAACAATGTTATAGGTTTAGTATTTTTTGTTGTTTTGTGTACTAATTTGTGTATAGCAATGTATTAAGTAACAATGAGTTAGTGTGGCAATATGATCTGTTGTGATTTTATGGTATGTGGCAATCGTTTTGATTGCATAATCATATCGAACACCTCATCTTTGAAGGAACATACAAAATCATTTTGATAAAGAAAAAACTCGTATGACTAAGCTGGTTGAACTGTAATTTCTTACACGTAAACGTAATATTAAAACAAAAATAAATTAAAAGAAAAAGAAAAACATTGTAAAAAACGACAAAATTTTTAATTTTCTCCGCAACCAAATAGAAAACCCCTAATTAATTGATAACTTTCAACAGATCTATGGCTTTGCTAGGACTTGGTTGAATTTTTTCACGAGAGTAGAGTAGGTTCAGGCAATTTCTAAGGCCAAGTAGACCTAAAGAAGTACCAGAATGAGTTTACGGCGTAAGGTCTAGGCAATTTTAATCATAAAAACAAAAACTACCCATGATACAAAAATCTACTATTACCTAGATCCAAAACTAACAATTCGTCATCAAAATAGAAAGCGTCCTACACAGTCTCTTTGTTTAAGTTAAATTGGAGTGTTACTTCTGTGACTATGTTTTTAGAATTAGTCAATTTTAACTGGAAGAAGAAACATACTGATCCTAAACATTCTTTCTAGATAAGCTTCCATGATCACTTATAGTAGCTTAATGGTCTTCAGACGATGTCCACGAATCTATGATTCTAAATAGTTTGAAAGTTACAGTACAATCCCAATTTCTTTCCACATGATAAATTGTCAGTGTACGACAAACGAACACATGAAAAACTGGATTGCAAAAATTTTTTCTCTAATACGAACACTGTGATGTTCACTCATTACACAAATAGACGAATAATTTATTGAGCAGACATAACACAGGCTACAGGGGTTTTTCCGCGGGTCCTACAGCAGACTGGATGGTTTGAGTTGCGCTATCTCGACGCTGGCCGGACATGTCGGTGGTCGTCCTCGGCACATTGGGTGCCAGGGAGGAGCGCCGCTGGCCGGACATCTCGGTGGAAGTCCTCGGCACATCGCATGCCAGGGAGGAGCGCCGCTGAGGTAGAGGTGACCACTCCCGAAGACCATGGACTAGAGGGTTGTACTCCTCCTGGAATCGAGGTCTCGGCCGCTCCTCGGAGTCTGAAAGAGGGTTTAATACTTAATGTTTTGACTCGTTAAGTGTTCTCCAGCCAACTCCTAGGGGTAGATTAAAAATAAAGAACGGAACTTTTGTTCATGAGGATTTGTTGTTTACGACGTACGTGTCAACATGTATTTATGTTCATGAAGCCTCACGTTGTCTATTAGCCGTCACACTCATCTGTGTTAGAAGTCTTTTGTCACCTGGTATTGATGTTCGACGTCCTATAAAGAATAAGTGAAATAAACCACTCCAATGTCTTCTTTTTTACATGGGTGGCTGGAAGCATGTTTAAGTTAAGATTATAAGGCGTGTTGTCCTTGTTAGAATTATTTATCTTGACAGATAAGAACAAAGATTTGGGCAGTTTTTAACCCTCGGGAACTAAGTAACTGGTTAAAACTTATCTATATTAGGCTTAATGCTACTAAAGTTCTCAAGCTCCCAAAACGTGGGGTTCCTGAGCCTAACTGAACTGTAATTTTCTTTAATTTATTTAAATTTGAGATAGTAAGTCCTCGATAATTTCTTTTACCGAGTAGGTCTGGAGAAGGAAATAGTTATTTGTGCAACTAGTGAGAAAAGTGAGCAATTGACTCACTCGAGAGAAATCCTTACTCACGAGCCGTAGGCGAGTGAGGAATGGTTTCTCGAGTGAGGCAATTGTACTTTGAACTCGAGTTGCACATTATACTTTTCCTACAGTTACCATAAAACAAAAACATTTGTGAAGAAACATGAAGAAACATAACCTATTTTTACACAGAAGTGAACTTTTAATATAACATTTAATGTGAAGTGACAAATACAACAGTACAACAGCTGACCAGCTGATTTACAGCCAGTGCTGCCAACGTATTTCGCGCGCATACGACGTTGCCTGCATGTTACGCGCTCACTATTTCGTGCCTTCACGTTGCAAATCTGGAGTGAGACAAAGTAATTAGAGTGAGACAATGTTAACATTGTCTCACTGGTGAGCGAATTGGCCACTTTGCTTTCTCAAATCAGTGAGAGAACATGTACATTGTTAGGTAACTGTAGGAAAAGACAGATTTTTCGGTTAACGAACTAGTTTCTAAATACAGTAGTGTGTAAGTTACGATTCAAAACTCTTAACTTTGTTCAATCAAAAATATTAATTTTTTTACGTCTTCTTATGGCTGTATACTTACAAAATATTCAACATTATTCAGCAAGGACGAGTATTCTCTCCCTCTAAATCGAAGGAACTTTTATTAAACTTTAGTAATTTTTACTTCAAGGGGTGGAAAATTTAAATAAAAATGTGATTGATATATATAACTTTATCAAATGTTTACCAGATGTTCGATTGCAGTCTGTGAATCAGGTATACATTATAGGAAGTCTGTATATAAAAATTACCCAAATAACCAAAACATTAAAAAAAGAGAAAATACAACACTCACTTTATAGTAAATAGCTTCAAATAACAATATTCTCTTAAACAAGTGTCTTTAGTGGCCCTACGCTGTTTTGAAATTATCGTATGGTCTATAATTTAAAACAAAATTAATATCACTAACCTTCCTGAACGCCTCTGAGGCAGCTGAAGAATTTCTTTAAAGTAAATCGTCTTGCCTGTGTTTGCTGCGCTGATTCCTATAAAATACGGATACAATATTGAAATGAAATATTATTTCGATCAACCTTTACAGAAATTGTATTTTCCATCCAAAGAAATGTGGCTATAAATAATTTTATTTAAAAGAGTTAATGGATTGAAACCGCCCAAGTGAAACTACGGAATAAAAGCTAATACAGGAAACATAAAAGTAATGTGTTCATCCAATAAGGAGAATCGTTTTAGTATACGAATATAGAGAACATTCAATACCATGTTATTATTTCCCACACACATAAAAGGCTGATGTATACTTCATCAGCCAGAATCAGTATATCAGCTCTGAGTACCTTAAAAATTTATTTTAAGTTAAATATTGAGAGTAACTGTAACTGAAGGTAATTGTAAGATACGAATTATGTTACTGGTAGCTTAGAAATTCTTTCTGTACCATTATCTCATTTAAAAAGACAAAACGAACAATATTTCAAAATAATAAAATACCAAAAAATATTGGTGAGTAAATAAACCACTAACCTGTGAGACGCTGTTCGAACGTTCCGTTATGTCTGACAGCTCGCCTGTGCCTCTTCTGGAAACATTAAACAGCTGATTAGAACGGTCACTGATAACGTACGTAATCACCTGTTATCACTATGGTCGATACTACACACAAGCATAAATTGTTACACGCTTTGACGATCAGTGTAAACATCAAACAGCTGATTAGAGCGGGTCACTGATAACGTGCGTTATCACCTGTTATGGCCAATACTACACACGTGGTGTAGTCACTCACACAAGCATAACTTGTTACACGCTTTGACGATCAGTGTAAACATCAAACAGCTGATTAGAGCGGGTCACTGATAACGTACGTAATCACCTGTTATCACTATGGTCGATACTACACACGTGGTGTAGTCACTCACACAAGCATAAATTGTTACACGCTTTGGCGATCAGTGTAAACATCAAACAGCTGATTAGAGCGGGTCACTGATAACGTACGTTATCACCTGTTATGGTCGATACTACACACGTGGTGTAGTCACTCACACAAGCATAAATTGTTACACGCTTTGACGATCAGTGTAAACATCAAACAGCTGATTAGAGCGGTCACTGATAACGTACGTTATCACCTGTTATCACTATGGTCGATACTACACACGTGGTGTAGTCACTCACACAAGCATAACTTGTTACACGCTTTGACGATCAGTGTAAACATCAAACAGCTGATTAGAGCGGGTCACTGATAACGTACGTTATCACCTGTTATGGACAAAACTACACACGTGGTGTAGTCACTCACACAAGCATAACTTGTTACACGCTTTGACGATCAGTGTAAACATCAAACAGCTGATTAGAGCGGTCACTGATAACGTACGTTATCACCTGTTATCACTATGGTCGATACTACACACGTGGTGTAGTCACTCACACAAGCATAACTTGTTACACGCTTTGACGATCAGTGTAAACATCAAACAGCTGATTAGAGCGGGTCACTGATAACGTACGTTATCACCTGTTATGGTCGATACTACACACGTGGTGTAGTCACTCACACAAGCATAAATTGTTACACGCTTTGGCGATCAGTGTAAACATCAAACAGCTGATTAGAGCGGTCACTGATAACGTACGTAATCACCTGTTATCACTATGGTCGATACTACACACGTGGTGTAGTCACTCACACAAGCATAAATTGTTACACGCTTTGGCGATCAGTGTAAACATCAAACAGCTGATTAGAGCGGGTCACTGATAACGTACGTAATCACCTGTTATCACTATGGTCGATACTACACACGTGGTGTAGTCACTCACACAAGCATAAATTGTTACACGCTTTGGCGATCAGTGTAAACATCAAACAGCTGATTAGAGCGGGTCACTGATAACGTACGTTATCACCTGTTATGGTCGATACTACACACGTGGTGTAGTCACTCACACAAGCATAAATTGTTACACGCTTTGACGATCAGTGTAAACATCAAACAGCTGATTAGAGCGGGTCACTGATAACGTACGTTATCACCTGTTATGGTCGATACTACACACGTGGTGTAGTCACTCACACAAGCATAAATTGTTACACGCTTTGACGATCAGTGTAAACATCAAACAGCTGATTAGAGCGGTCACTGATAACGTACGTTATCACCTGTTATCACTATGGTCGATACTACACACGTGGTGTAGTCACTCACACAAGCATAACTTGTTACACGCTTTGACGATCAGTGTAAACATCAAACAGCTGATTAGAGCGGGTCACTGATAACGTGCGTTATCACCTGTTATGGCCAATACTACACACGTGGTGTAGTCACTCACACAAGCATAACTTGTTACACGCTTTGACGATCAGTGTAAACATCAAACAGCTGATTAGAGCGGTCACTGATAACGTACGTTATCACCTGTTATCACTATGGTCGATACTACACACGTGGTGTAGTCACTCACACAAGCATAACTTGTTACACGCTTTGACGATCAGTGTAAACATCAAACAGCTGATTAGAGCGGGTCACTGATAACGTACGTTATCACCTGTTATGGTCGATACTACACACGTGGTGTAGTCACTCACACAAGCATAAATTGTTACACGCTTTGGCGATCAGTGTAAACATCAAACAGCTGATTAGAGCGGGTCACTGATAACGTACGTTATCACCTGTTATGGTCGATACTACACACGTGGTGTAGTCACTCACACAAGCATAAATTGTTACACGCTTTGACGATCAGTGTAAACATCAAACAGCTGATTAGAGCGGTCACTGATAACGTACGTTATCACCTGTTATCACTATGGTCGATACTACACACGTGGTGTAGTCACTCACACAAGCATAACTTGTTACACGCTTTGACGATCAGTGTAAACATCAAACAGCTGATTAGAGCGGGTCACTGATAACGTACGTTAACACCTGTTATGGACAAAACTACACACGTGGTGTAGTCACTCACACAAGCATAAATTGTTACACGCTTTGACGATCAGTGTAAACATCAAACAGCTGATTAGACGGTCACTGATAACGTACGTAATCACCTGTTATCACCTGTAATGGTCAATACTACACACGTGGTGTAGTCACTCACACAAGCATAACTTACACGCTTTGACGATCAGTGTAAACATCAAACAGCTGATTAGAGCGGGTCACTGATAACGTACGTTATCATCTGACTACCTGGTCGATACTACACACGCTTTGATGATCACTTCTTCCTACACGGTCTGCTGATTTATTAGTTAGTTCAGTGCTTCCAACTTCCTGGAATTTACAGCTCTTTAATTTATAGAGGTGTTTGCGGCGATTCAATCCCAAATCTTTTTTTTTCTTATTTGTTGCAAGGAGTCGTTAAATATTAACCTACGTTTGACTTCTGTTAGAATTTAAACTAGTTTAACATTATGCACAAAACTTTGTTGAAAAAATTTGTTTTTTTATCACTTCAATTTCTATCTTTTTCCTTTAGAATTGTAAAGGTTATGTTTGCCCCTGAGTAAATACTGGTCGTGTCGAATTGTAAATATTGATCTCAGAATCAATTATTTGTTTAGTATATTTGCGTAAATATTTCAAAGATAGTTTCTTTATCCATTTAAGTGGAAAGGGTTTTATTTATGCGCAGTCATTCCAGTTTATAGCATTTCCCGCTTTACACTCGTCATATTGTTAGAGCATCCTTACAAACAGACGCGATTCTTAGGAGTTCGTACTGAACTGTACCATTCTCCGACGTCTAGAGTTAAAAAATCCACTCAAAAAGCCTTGCACAAGAAAAGGACCATGGATTGTTCTTTCTCTAGAGGTAATTATCATTATAAAGTAAGTAGACGTTCTTGAGTTATATAAATGAATCATTCCACCATTGCAAAAGTATAAGGACAAAGGACATCGACGAAAAAATAACTCGTAGAGTAATATATATTTTTCTTTTAATTTTTACAGATAGTTAGTATGAATTTTGAATATTTTGAGCATAATAAGCAAGAAATCGTGTTTCCAATTAGTTAAAACGATTGTCTTTACCTAAAATAAACTTTTACAAGTTTCAACTATAGTTTTATTGTATCAAAGATGATTAAACTTACTTTCAAGTCCAGTGTATTTATATTCCGGACTGGTCCTGAGGATGAGTCCTTTCACCATTACAGAGACAGATGATAGCAGCTCTTCAAAAGGACAATACTTGAAACTTGTTATGGTACATAATTTTCAAAAATACGAAGATTTTGTCAAAAGGCCATATTTTCTAAATTGCCATGGATACGGTTAGATGTTGTAGTTTGTATGTTTTCATATTGATTTAATGGTTTACCACGGATATGAATTATTTGCAATTAAAATCATGTATATCGTTCTCTACAGTATCAACTTCATGAATAATTTAAATTTTGTAATCGGTTTTGGTGACTTCAATGTCGTGATTTTAAATAATGTGTTGAGTCCAGTTTAGTTTAAATCCGATTATGTTTAACCAATAAATTAAGTTTACTCCTTTTCTAGATAATATTTTAAGGTTTTCTTTGTAGAAATACGGTAGGAATAGTGTCGATGTGTCCAGTCATTGATTTTTAACTTTTGACAAAGCATTTTGAGTAGAAAAAAAAAATAAAGATAAATATCATATATTATTCTTTAATCCATTCATCTGCATCCAATAACCTAAGTATCCTCATTTTTCAACAATCGTTGGCTAGGAATCGATGAACTTGGTCGAAATAGTTAAAGGCTGTTATTTAAAAATATATATTTTAGGCCTACGTCTGCTATTAAATTGTCATCTGCAAGGGGCTGACTAGTTCCCTTGCAAGATCAACATTGTCAAAGCCAGCAAAACGTCAAAACATAAAAACTTAAATTAAAAAGGAGCGTGTATAATTAGTTTATCGCACAGTTGGTTAAGTATCATCACGCTCTAAAAGATGATTTTGAAATTGAAAATTGAAAAAGACAGTCTCTGAATTCTGGGAAGAACACGGTTAAATCCACTAGTTTCAAAATGCAGGTTGGACAAAACTTACCTCTATAATCTGCCTGGGTGTGGATATGGTTAACCTTAGGGATCAGTGAAATCGTGATATTATGGGAAGTTTTGGCATTATGAAAAAAAAAACTTTTATTGATTAGGGTTCAGAAAGATTTGCCCTTCCAAAGGAAATGATTAAATTGCCACGAACGTCAGACCAGGTGACAGCTAGGGACATGGGATGAAACGTTCTGTCTCCTATCTAAACACTACGGTGTCTCCCATTGCTTCGTTAGCTTAAAAAAAAAAAACAATAGTTACTTGTGTTTAAAGTTCGCTTAAAATAAATTAAGGGTTTCGACCTAATCCTTTTTAATGAGTGTAGCGGAGTCATCATTTAATATATGTGACGGCGATTTAATAATTTCTCTTCTGGCACCTACGTTAACAGTCATTACAATATGTCTCTTAAGGTCAAGTGTACACAGTTGCAATGTCTGATGGGACAGTCCAGCGCCATATAAAGTTCCCTGCCACCTCCCCTCACCAATTCCACCACCCACATATTCCAGGGGGAGGGGGATTTACGGAGGGTGGTCGACTGGGCGGGGGGTAGTTTCTGTTGCAGCTCTGCACCATTCAATCCTCCCTATGACCTAATTGCCTCATCCCACTCATTTACAATATGAAATATCCTCCAATAAACTGCGTGGGATTGTTGGTGGTCTTTGAGTTATTTACTGTTTCTCTCACTAAGACTGCTCGTGTTTTTTTACGAATGAACTTCCTTGTTTTACCACTGAATTTCGTAAAGGAATTGGCCATCACTTGCACCTAATCACAGCAACAACTGGTCGGTCATGGGCATAAGAGGTTGTTGTATACGTTTGCTCACTTTAACGAGTAGGAAGTATATTAAAAAAAAATATAATATTCTGGTCTTTCAAACTGAGATATTTTTCTAGCTCAACTTGCAAAGAGGTTCGTCAATTCTTGAATGCTACATCATAAAAAGTGAAATGGGTGACGCTTTGCATCGCCCATTTGAAGGCATGTAGTGAATTTGTAAAAATATTGAGATATAGCCATCTGAAGACTAATGATTTTGTGAAAATGCTTCCTTGGTGAATATACAAACGAATGTACAATAAAATTGGTGTAAATACCTGCTTCTTGCAATCCAAATTGTTGCTGTTATGACGCAACTAGTTTCGACTTATCACGAAGTCATCTTCGGGCGTCCAGTCTAGACGCTACTACATCCATCCGGCCGTGACGCATAATCCTCACCGGTGTTACCATTTTTAGCTTTTACTCGTTAAATCGTACTTTTTTTGTTTCAATGTTCGTGTCTGTGTTTTTTTTCGTAACCGTGACCATGTTCGTGTATGAACGTATGTGTGTATTGACGACCTTCTGATGAAGTGATTTGACATCCCCTGGACGCCCGAAGATGACTTCGTGATAAGTCGAAACTAGTTGCGTCATAACAGCAACAATTTGGATTACAAGAAGCAGGTATTTACACCAATTTTATATTCAACGTAATCCGGAGGCTAACATCAACAATGGAATGTACAATGTTTTTTATGAATCAAAACTGGACCCAGTTGCCTTCGGCCATTAGGCTTTCAATAGATGCTTCTGACCAAAGTGTAACCAGCTGATCAGTTGCAAAGCTAATAATTAATTCATTATAAACCCATCCTTCAGTCATCTCTATCTTAAAATACTCACCAATCACGTTGATGTGTTGGGGTCGAATGAAATCAACATAGAAGCACCATGACTGTCAAATATAAAACAAGCTTAATAAATTGACTGACAAAAACTATCGCTTCAATATACAGCTACAAAATATAGTACCAAAAAACTATGCTTATTGCCAATAATATACGATATTGAAAAAAGGTTTTATTGTTGGCCAAGCAATGTAATCAGGGAGGTTTCCTGAGCAAGAATGTGGATCTGTTCCAGCGTTCCAGCTTGCACGGTATTGAGGTCAGGTCACACTATATTGAAACATTCATGTTCTCATATGGCTCTTGATGACTTGGCTAGAAGCATTAGCAGAATAGGCGCCGATGATATTGGAATTGTCCTTCTACAACAGCTGTTAGCTTACTTAGTACTGTAGGAAATGTTTTTATTTTAAGTACCAGGAGACCAAGATTTGCTCGGATTGAATTAAATTAAATTTATTAGATAAGTTATTTGGCTAAATTAAAATTATAGGTATTTATTATGTATGGTAATCAAGGTGAAAATTTTTTTGATGATTCACAATAGTATATTTCGTACCTAGGGCCGAAAATGAGGTTTTGCCGGCTCGAGGTAGTTTTTAAGTTCGAGACGAAGTCGAGAACTTAAATCGATCGAGAGCTGTAAAACCATTTCGGTCCGTGGTACGAACGCTATTTTTCACCACACTTAACCCCATTACCACTATTCACCACTATATTAATGCACACTGATAGTCAACACAACTACAACTTTAAGGTTATGTGAAGAAATAATGTGAGGAATCAGCAAGAATAAAAATAAATAGTTGCTAGGCAACGGTGACAATAACACAATTCTATTTCAATGCTATGGATTTTGATTGTGTATTTAAAATGCATTCATGTTTTAAGTAAGTAAGTGGACAGCTGATTTTGCGGCCCCGGCCTGTAAAACCTGCTCGGTCCCCAAATTACGATGACAGCTGGCATGGCCAGCAAAACGTAACTTTCAGCCACCAATTGACGTATGTAATACAGCCAAAAACATTATAGTGTGGTGAAAAACCCGCCTTCATAAAAACGTAGATTGCAATAAAAACCACCTGTATCAGCTGTTTTTGTTAACTGCAGCTACCAAACGGTATTGACGATAACATGGACACTTTAAAGGGCTGTAGGGCGGAAAATGGATTTTTCCCAGCCTTGTGACCAACTCCAATTTATTTCTCGTGGCCAAACACCCTATTATAAAACAACAATTTAAAAATCCTTGACCAAAAATAAAAGTTACATTTTTACGTAACGCGTACACGCGCTTGTTTCAGAGTATAGGATAGGATTTGCAATGAATAACGATATATGGACTGCTTTTGACTCAGGATTTCCAAAAGAACGCCTGAAAAGAAACTAGTCATAGATAAACGTTTGGTATCACTGTTATGACGATTTTTGAGTTTTAGTTTGAAACGTTCACATTTGATTAAATTAATTGACCAATCAATCAAACTTATCCCTGTACCATCTTCTTTTCGATTTTAAATGTTTGGTCAAAATAATGTTGAAGCTTTGTGGTGGGGGTCAATCGCATTGTAATACCCTGATTACTACGCTCAATTTTGCTGTCGCGTCTGCGAACGCTACCTAGTATGCTTTATAGTAACTGTAGGAAATAGTATATTACGTTACTAGTCCTGAAAATAAGTGTTTACCGGACGAGTGTGGTCGTTCCCGTGCGAGACGAAGTCGAGTACGGGATTACCATACGAATCCGGTACACACATTTTGGACGAGTTACCGTACGTACGATAGTTTACGCCATACTACTAAATCCCTACAAATCCTTTTTATATTTCCACCAACTAAAGGACTAAAAATCCCTAGTCATAACCTCTTAGAGAGGTTATGTTTTTGTTTATAACCACTCACTGTCACCTAAATACAGTATAATCAGCTGATTGGTGTCCGGTAAAACTCATTGCAGTACAGTAGTACGCAATGAAACCCCATTTGAATAAGCTAGGGGCAAACAGCTCTTTTCTGGACTAAAACCTTGCGTGGGAAGTTCGTCAAAATAATGTAGTGTGGCGTAAAATATAATGTGTTACGCGAGTGCAAACCAACGATATAAAGTACTCCTATATCGATATAAAACACTCCTATATCGATATAAAACACTCCAAGGAGTGTTGTATATCGTTGGTGCAAACTGCCTTTGCTGCACTAGAGAAAGTGCCACTTCGCCCACTAGTTACACAAATAACTATTTCCTTTGTACTGCAGTTATTATCGCATATTGGCTTGCTTATAAACATATTCTATGATTCTTTCTTTACATGTACGTTATTATTTCGTAACTATCATGGTCATCGTTGTATAAAATGGCAACCAAAATGCCTATGTTAAAAATTGAAAATATTTATGTTATGCAGTATCAAATTTTACACGGCTTGTCGAAATGATCGTTAAGCTATGGTGTTTTGCGGGATGAGATTACAAAAGTTGCACGAGGCCCGAACTCAATGAGCTCCGTGCAATAAAATAAACAAAAT